CTAGTAGAAGTTACAGGGGCTCCCTGTGACTAGGAGCATCTGAATCCTTGCCGCTGCGATCTTCCAGTACGAAGTATCCGACGGTCTTCGATCTTCTCTGTCTTTAAGATCGTTACTGTCAATGCTAAAGTCAGTCCGAAGCTTCAGTACTCATTTAGGCTAAAACCAAACCGTGCTGAGCTCTAAAGTAACTTCAACTAGGAAAGGCGCTGTTAATTTTCGTAAAATAATTCGTTTATTGAAATATTCTGTGTCTGGTCGTGAAGCTGCAGATCTGAATAAGAAAGATCTAAACTACGTACAATATTGATTGGTCTAAGGAAACTAAGGTTTTCTTTATTTGAACTTCTACTAAACCAAGAACCCTAAAGCAGCCTAGTAGACTAGATAGAGTTAGTATGCAGCACCTTGACATATCAATGTCAACGCATCACTTATAGCAATAACTAGTGAAAGATCGTGCTCAGAGTTACTGAAAACATATCTGAAGGAGCTTTTGCTCTGTTTTCCTTTGAACAAGCGCACTTATTATTGCGACATCAATCGTTATCTGGGTCGAACAAAGACTGACGAAATTGTTAGAGTGAAGTTAGGAATTGCCTTCCCAAAACGCTACCTAGGAGCCATTAAGATGGTGCTATATTCTGAATATACAGCAGTAGCCCGAGTGTTACACACACTATGATACAGTCACATAACGCGTATACTTTTATAATAAAAATAGTGCAAACTGTTTATCTGTTTTATAAAAAGTTTCTCACATGCTTGTGATGTGGCCTCTCATTTCTAATTCCTATGACCTCGTTTAACGACGCTAACCTATTTATAATTGACAAAACTAACCAAATTTTGAAGGCTTTCAAGAAAAACTTTTTTGTAATTTCCGCTACGAACATGTATACTGATATTGTATTTTACAGCTCGAAACAAAAAACTAGAGAAATGTAATATTCGTTGAGAAACCGTTATGATTTTTTTTAATATTTGTGATATTTAATATGTGAATATTTAATATTATTTCTAGATAAGAGCCGTATTTACGTACGAAAAACTCACAGAAGAAGAATTTTATCTTAGAAATTGCTTGTTTGCGTCAAACCTTGGGCATCCGTAGCGTTGTGGAACACTTAGAGCATTCTGTATTCGAAAATATTGAGATATCATTTGGTTTAACAATAAGGTCCTAAACATCCTTAAGAGGCTTTTTTTTTTTAACACTTTTGCACAAGGATCTCTAGGCTGTGAGATTCAACTCTACTGCTTACTACTACTAACAATTCTGCAATAAGCAAGAAACTCGCAAACTCCTGTAACTCTGTTCAGATAGTCATTTACCCGACAGTCTCCAACCTTGGTTAGGTTGGAATTATCTTCTGGCAAATCTTTTTGTCGAATGTTTCCCTTCGAAGTTTGTAAGCTGATGCTGATGCATTTTGAAATTAATTTTACCGTGTAACTGCTTAGGCTATAAGAAGTAATCCAATGTGTTTTTCTAAAGAAACGTCTGGATACCTTCGAAAATACGAACCGCAGAGACTTACACGTGTGTCTTATCATTAGCAAACACAAATAAAGGTCGGCTTCCAATAATTAGTACAAAACAATCGATCGAGGAATTTATAAACATTAGTCATAAAATATATAATATCTACATATATATACAATAACAGCAAATATAGATAAAACGTTGGAACTACTATTCAATATAGATTTGCTTTACGGTAGGCCAAGGCTGGTCGGCTATTAGCAAATACATACTGTCTCATAGATTCTCGCAGATAAACTATACTTACTTAAGACGAATTGTGATAAGAGATCTTCATTTTCTACAAAACGAAAAGGAGATCTACAAAACGAAAATTTTTGAAAAGTTTAAATCGCACAATAGAAAGCTATTTTTACGGAACAGGGTGAGGGGTTCGTCCTAAGCTTTTGCTTTTCAAATTTGATCTTTGTGCACTAAGATAGCCAGTTTACGTCGTATGGCTCCTATTTCTTTTAAAGAATTTGGCTCGCTAGTGTTCTAAAAAACATCATTAAAGCATACGTTTTTGTGCTTATTCTTCGTTGTGTTAAGGCATGTCGCTTAAGGCTGTTCTCGCTTGCCTACATGCGACGCTAAGAAGATTCGCTGAAGAGATTGGTGTCAGACCCGTAGCCCCACTCAGAGACTGTAATTGCTTCATTTGGTGCTACAATCGCAGATTTCTTTCTAGAGACTAAGCTCTTCAGAGTGTTCTGAGTACGGGACAAGCTTCTGCCGTCAGCTGATTTAATAGTTTCTATAGAGGCAACTCAAGAACAGTATATTTCAATCGGAATCTGTGCTAATTATCTGAGCGTATGTGTGTTAATAAACGCGCATTGCAAAAATGCATATATATGATTACGCGCTGAGTCATGGCAAGTTTTTATAGCGTTGAGGGAGGAACAACAACGGAATTAATCGATTATATGCAACGTCACGATAAAATCAAACGGATAACAAACTGGGTTTTACTCCAACCACGAAGTGCGCGGTTCTTCAGACCTGCTTTTGGTGAAATCAATTCAGTAGTCTTCTGAGAAGCGTACTCATACGATACGTAAGATCATTTCGTAATGTCCTGCAGCTGTAGGCCGACCAATCTATATGAGTTAGAAGTGAGAAGAGTGAATATAACGTTTTCCATCAGGAAGAGAGTTTCTCGTCTTTGTAGTCAAGTGCTTTAGCGTTTAGTGCAAGCGGTCCGACAGATATTGCAATATAGCATGCCAGTATTACTTTGTTAAAAATTACATCTGGTTTGCATTGGTTCCTCTGAGCTCAATAGCGTTCGCATACGATATAGTCTGGTAGACGAATCTTGTCTATAGAATTGCCCTGAATAGTGTAGAATGTAAACGACTCGAGCCATTCGCATACGTCAATGATAACCAGTATATTTTTCTTGCAATCTAACCTAATAATTCCAATGTACGGTAACTTTTAACTGAGATTTTGCTAAAAAGTCTTCAGGCTGGCCAGGAGGCTAGCGCTTTGAAGCAGGTTAATAAATCATACAAGTTCTGGATTCTAACCAGCTCATGATACACCCTCCGCTGCGTGATTTTTTTAGAACTGTACCAGAAAGCTTACCTGCTATTCAATAACTAACCCTTAAATGGTTTCGTGCGTTTTCTAAATGTTTTTCGTAGTGCCAAAAAAAATTGATCTAATTTGGCATATTATTTGCTTTTTTCATCGAGACGCAAATTGCCTTTTGATAACACCTGCATGTCCGGTAACTTACGTAACTGGACCCGATTATTGATTTACTACCGCTGCTACGACCTGTCCTTTGCTGTTTCCCGTATTTGTGAGAGTGTCCCACATACCATGCATTCGACTACGTCTGAAAATTGAACGGGTTCTATCCCATTATATGAGATAATTCACGCCACGCACATTTGATTTTTCTACAGGCGCAATTGGCAATTAGGTGTCTATTGACATCGAAGCTCTTATAACTACCTGGCCTTTGTGATTATATCTAAAGCTAACGGTACACCTCATGGTCCTTGACTTATAGTGATCAAGTGGTATAAAAAATAAATCAAAATATCATTATAGGTTCCGTTGAAGCTATTGCTAATTTTCTAGTGTATATTATTTTCTCTGGAAAAGTGGTTTTCCCCAGCCATACAGCGAGTACCCCATTTTTTCAAAAGACGTCACCGCATTGACGCTCACTTTTTCTACTTCCTAGGAAGCATTACCTAGCATTTTCTGCCTGCGTCACCTATCAGCTGCACACGCCGTTTTTCACTTCTCGTTTTCAGTAGATACTTGCCTTAATCGATTTTAGAGCCTTCAAAGGAGCCTTACATTCTTCTGAACGTAAATATCGAATAATTTGGGGTATTTATATAATGAACAAAGTGTAGTACGGTATATCTAAAGGCTGTGTTATATGTATCGTTACTATTAAGTATAATAGCAAATGTCATCTATCTCAGCCTAAGGTGTTTTAGAGCTGATTAGTATTCCTAATTATTCGTCAACGGCTTAGAATATTAGTACTGGTCAATGCCACTTCATTCACCAGTCTCCGAAGTTTGTTTGGGTAAATCGGACGTGCAATGTATAAGCTATACGCAAAGCAAAACGTACGAACCACCCTGATCGTGTCAACTTACGGAGCGATTTGACCTGGTATTTCTCAGAACAAAATTTAGATAATACTACAAGGAAAAGTATCATGTTGCCGACTTCAAAGATCCGGGCCTTAAAATCTATCAACCAAAACGTATTAAACTTATCGGGATGAGTGAAATTAAACAACAATATTTTGGTATAGTCTATTCCTTTTTATTTACACGAAATTTAATATTTAGGGAGTTTCTCGGTCATTTGTTTGAACCAGTCAGCATTTGTATAATGTACGCCATTAGTATTCACCTTCCTGTATGTACGGAAGCAACCCATATTAGATAAGCTGAATTCTGAGGATTAGTCGGGTCACTTAATAAAGTCTTACAATGGCAAAACCCATTAACTTCGAAGACAATAACTAAAATCGCTTTAAATGAGAGACCGGTTTACTTTGGCATTGAACCGCAACATCATCGTTTTCGAAGCCTTATTTTCGCGGATTTCTTGGAGTAGTACACAATAATGCTTCGGACACAAAGTTAGTTTTTTTTTACAAAGCTCGCGCTATTGCATTGCTTTGAATGTGGAGAATTAATACAATCCTGCCTGCTGGAGATGACTCGCCTTATAAGGAGTGATGGACAATAAAGTTTAAAGGTCCAGAAATCAAGAAATAGACAGCCATGTTATCAGGAGCTAGTTTGACTTCGTTTAGAGTAAGCTCTAGTAAAAGTCTTGGTTACTGTCCGAATTTCGACTACAGTTTATTAGGAATACATGAAAACACCTACTTTAACAACACAACATCTGTAAGCTAAATGTTAGTATTCTTATGAGGCCGATCAGGTGAAGCATAACGCCACTCTGATACGTTGTTTGATTTCAGGTATTATTGGAGCAGCCCGCAATGACAACTGAAACACTTGCCCTCAACCGGGCGCTGAAAAAGAAAAGTAATCGCGGCGAAACGATGACTGTAAATTGGGTAACAGTACTGGCCGTTCTCTGCGCGGCATGGGCATCGCAGAATGTTAGTCGCCTCACCTCGGGGTGCGTGCCCCCTGACGAAGATATTTCGCCTTGTCTCTGTTACAACTTCGAGGACGCGCTATTTGTCGAGTGTTCCAATGTTAGCGAAGAACACCTGCGAAACGCGCTGTCGAAAATCAGCGCTCCGCTTAAACAACTGACGTTGGTTAAATTAGAGGTGAAAGGAGAAACGTTCCCTAATGGCATATTTGTTGGAAAACGGATTGGAACCCTACATATTTCAAACAGTCGCTTGCATCGTCTTCAGGAGGCAGCATTTTTAGGACTCGAAAATTCTCTTTCGGCATTAACCATCAGTAACTGTGAGATGAAGGAACTCCCGCATGGTGCTATCAAAAATATGAAGGCGTTACGCAGTTTCGAAATCGATTCGAACGCCATTGCTGATATTGAGAGCTATTCATTTTATGGACTACAACTCAGGTCACTCATGCTCCAAAACAACTACCTAACTTCCCTAGCCGAGTTCGCGTTTGGGGGCTTGGAATCGTCCCTAGAAGACCTCAACCTAAGCAATAATCGACTAGCCCTGTTTCCTTTCATGGCGTTGCGCCGGCTACATGGTCTTCGCGTTCTGAAGCTGGTAGGCAATGTAATCACCGACATCTTAGATGATGGTCTGACCCGCTTCATAAATCTACAAACGGTCGACCTCAGTCAAAATAAAATGACTGCCCTCACAAATCGGAGCTTTTCGTCTATGCCTCGTCTCCGTGGGCTCTCACTCTACCAGAACCGCATTACCGATGTTGAAGACGGAACATTTGAGCACACGCGAGAACTCGAATCCCTTGATCTTGGGCAGAATTTTGTATGCGCCCTGAAATCTGTTGTCCTCCGACCTCTAACAAGTCTACGAACTATCGAGCTCGGCTTTAACCATTTGCATGGCGTTGACGACGGCTCATTTCAGAATCTTACTCAATTGCGTGAAATACTACTATCGAACAATAATATTTTACGATTGCGAAATGATACTTTTGCGAATTCCCAGAATGTATCCATTTTGTTTGTACCGAATAATGCAATAGAGCACATAGAACTGGCAGCTTTCCATGGCCTCGAGCGACTTACTCAGTTGCAGATTTCATTTAATCGTTTACGGAGCGTGCACCCACTGCTATTTCGGGCTAACACCGAATTGCGCTCACTTTCCCTTGACAACAACCTTATTACAAACCTTGAAGTCGGTACATTCCGTGAACTTAATGAACTACGCGATCTGCGACTCCAGCAGAACAACCTAAAAAATGTGCGTCGCGGTGTTTTTTTCCCTTTAGCCAACTTGGAGGAACTACATCTGCAAAACAACAGGATTGAATCAATAGAGCCCGAAGCCCTGGCAGGATTGGCAGCGCTTCAACATCTCAACCTTCAAGGAAATAAACTATTAGAAATACATGATATACTCATTCGTGCAGGCTCCAATTTGCGTTCGTTATTTCTGAGTCTGAACCTACTCACCGATTTAAGCAGCCTTAGCGCTCCCCTGGGGCGCCAGAGTAAACTCGAAATGCTCGAGATACGATCGAATAAGTTGCGTCGTCTTCGAGCAGATATGTTTCGTGATTTGACATCAGCAACAAGGGTCTATTTGGACGGCAACAGCATTAGTGAGATTGAAGATGGATCCTTTGAGACTTTAGTGGAGTGCCTATTCCTCGACTTGAGCAGAAACCAACTACGGTCCTTACGCGGGGGTACTTTTCGCGGCCTTAAATCACTTGAGGAGCTTTCGCTAGAAAACAATAATCTAACAAGTCTTGCAAAAGGCGCCTTTTCTCAACTCGGTCAGCTTCGAGTGCTCGGGCTTGCTCACAACATGCTAATGACTATAGCAGCTGATACTTTTGGGAACATGCCTGGACTTACTTCACTCAACCTGTCCCACGCAAACATTCAAGCTATAGGGTTAGGAGCTTTTGAAGGCCTGCTGGGTCTGGAACTACTTGACCTATCTGGAAATCCTATAAAAGTACTCCGCTCGCCGGGTCAGCTAAGCCAGCTACGCATGCTGCGCTTAGCATCTGTAGCACCGCAGAAGGTGGTTGATGGCGTGTTCGATAAGTTGAATCATCTTGAAGAACTTGATTTAAGCGGCTCGTATGTTAACCTCAATCGTATTGGCCTTTTCGATCATCTCGAGTCGTTACATACGCTGCGAGTTGGCCATAATAATGCGTCTGCTTTACGGCAGGGTCTCTTTAAGATGCTGCCTCTACGGAAGCTCTCGCTTGAAAGTAACTTGCTGACGACAATGCCTTCCGGAGTATTTAATGCGCAACTAGAAACACTCGTATTGCAATCGAACAATATCACAATCTTGCGTAGTGGCTGCTTATCTAATTTGAGTAAGCTCCACAGATTAGACTTTTCTGGCAACCTGATTGGCGCGATCAACAACGACGTTTTCGATGAAACCACGAATTTAGAAGAACTGGATCTTTCTCGCAACAGGCTGCGTACGTTACCATATCATTTATTCAAAAACAGCAGTACTCTAAATCGGCTGAATTTAGCAAGTAATGATTTTTCGTACATTCCTAACGCTGTGGTGGATGGTGTTGCGCCGCTAACTAATTTACGCATTTTGCAGTTAGAACATAATCCATTGATTAGAGTGCGAGAAGATTTCGCTAGCGGAGGCCTGCTTCCTGCTCTTGAAGAACTAAATCTCTCCTACGGGAATGTATCAATAGTCGCTACAAACGACATGCACAGCTTTCCCGCATTACGCAATCTTTTTTTGGGACATAACCGCATCTCAAAGGTGTCACCAGGGGCATTTCGCCCTCTTCACTATCTTATTTTGCTAGATCTAAGTGAAAATCACATCGAGGTTCTTCCGTCCGAAAGGCTACAAGGCCTATTTGCCTTGAAACAACTCAATCTATCCAACAACAGATTCGCTGAACTTCAACCATTTCCAGCGGATCTGGGCGCTCTTGAAGGACTTGATCTTTCCAACAACAAGTTAGTCAAGATTCAGGAGATTGTATTTGATGCTCTGACCAGCTTGAAACGCCTTAATTTCAATGACAACAACATTCGCTGGGCAGCTTTTGGTGCGCTCAACAGCCTCAGCGCATTGGAGGAGCTCAACCTACGTAACAACAATCTAATGTATTTGACACATACGATGTTCCAAGTTATCGAAAGACGCCTCGTCAGGCTACTGGTTACAGGTAAGCTACACAAAATAGATTCGACGAGCAGGAAAAAAAAGTGTAGCCAAAATTGAAAGAGCGCAAAACTTAGTCAATCTATATTTCCTTTTTTACCTTAGACCCTATGACTTACTTAGCACTTTAACCCAGCATATTGTCCCGTCACCGTCCAGACTCAGGCCATGCCCGTGGCCTCAGGCCTTATAGCCGCGTATCGCCTACACTTTTTGAGCCACTGGTATTCCGAAAGAAATATTTCCGCTTGTACGTTACAAATGGTTTCTCACCACAATAGCTTTTTTACCATATCCATCTCTCGCAAATATTCTCTCCTTAGGACATGTGCAGTCATTAGATAACGACAGCCTTTTATTTCCCGCCGACTGCAGTTGTTCCGTATTGGCAAAATGCAATATATGATCAGAATTGGCCAGTGTGCTCATCGGCTAGCCTTAAGTTCGAAATAACTTTGTAGTGACAAAATACAGCTATGGAATTTTCGCGGGGACAACTAGGATTAACAAGGATTGGACTGTTGTGGAATCAAGCCAAATTAATAGCATTTCCTAGGAAATTAACGTTTTGTCAACAGGTTCACCAACTGTCATGAACAAACCAGGTTTTGCCGCTCGCGTTATTTCTCTAAACTTGAGTTCTCGTTTAATAGTCAAATTCTTTTTTCGCTAAACTGGGGTTCATCTTTAGAAAGAGGCTGCGAATACCTGGAATTACTCTAATTGACATTAAAAATACACAGAGGTTTCTATATTGTAACAGTCCTAGAATCTCGATTTAGAAGGTGGCAAGACGAACCTTCCTGACTCCTCTGCGAGCACCAATGAACATCTACAACCCATTCAATCTTCTGCGACTTATTATGAACAAAATAGATAAAAAAAAATCAAATAAGCCGGCCAATTTAAAAGAAATAGTTACCAAGTGTAGAATGCTTGTCATTGTTAAACTAATTCTACAAGGCCATCTCTGTTCAAATAAAATGACCAAAATGATGAGTGAAACGCACATTATTTTTGCCCGGCTTCTATCGAGCTACGTCATGAGGTCCGTTATTATCAGTTTAACAAAGCAGCACTATGGTTCTGAATACTTACAGAGATTCAAGGGGGAACATAGGGAAACCAGTTAACTTACTATACATTGCTGGCATTTTTGAACTGGAAACTATACGTAATACGTTATTGTCAACATTTCGTAAGATATCCCATGCTTCCACTTAACACTCGAGTTTTGCTAACGAATATCTTTACGGCCCCATTTTCAGGGAACCCACTGAAGTGTGACTGTCGCATGCTGGGCTTTTGGGAGTGGCTAAAAGAGCATCCCCAACTGCATCTGTCCGATTCGCTTCATGCACCCGCATCGGCCCATCCGTTTTGCACATATCCAGAGCGACTTTCTGGCCAAGATCTAAATATGCTTTACCCGATCGATTTCTGTCCAGCACCGATGATGACAACGTTAGCAGCAGCGGAAGTTAGCCACAGCAGCGTCAAGCTCAAGTGGCAAGTAGAAAACTCAACACTTGTAGAACGGTTTGTTTTATCCGTTCAATATACGTCTCAATGCAGCTTGACTGACAATTGCGGCTCTAATGATACAGGTGATTCGCTGCTGCTAAGTTCAGCAAAACGTGCGTTCCTTCTGACCGACCTTACGCCTGAACGAGAGTACCAGCTCTGTGTGACGGCAACTGGTCGTTATTTGCGTCCTCTCGGAAAGCCCACTGCTTACGCCGACGTCCCACATGATAGCGATCTCGAGAGCAATGCACGGAAGTGCTTGCGAGTCACGACGGCTGCGCGAGTCCACAAACGGCTAATGAGTTTACCTGAACTTGGGATTGCACTTGGGGTCGGTTTGGGCCTTGGGTTAATTGTATTCACATCTATTATTGTCACTGCGGTGCGGCTAAAGCGGGCGCGTCGGAAGAAGCGCCGACCCATTCATGAAGAAGATGTTCCGCCGGAATATATTTCGTACAGACATTTTTCGATACCGGGAGAAGATCCAGGTGAACCGCTTTCCTAGCAGCTGGAGTCGGCCATTCACTGTAGACACGAAGGCACGGTAACTACTATGACCAGACCAAATGTTTCAGTAGCCCGGATCAGTCGACCTGCGCTTGCAAGCTCGTCACGCCATGACCTAGAATCACAGTAACCAGTGCCGTTTGAAATAGCTCACCATTATCGTAGTACTAGTGCTTCGCGTGCATTCCAGATCCAGGCATTGAAATTTTTTCAACTTGTCATATCTTTTTACGTTTGCAACATTTCTGTACGGTAACTTAAAAGCCAACTTCTCTATTTATAGCCGTAGGATGACCATTTTATTGTAGCGTAGAATTTTTGTCATATTGTGGATAAAGGGCAGGAGAATGAACACGGATGACAACAAGTTTCAGTGAAAGGAAAGCCAATGGATATGTAATCTGTTGTTTGAAAGACCTCTTAAGATCACGAAACTGAATGTACACAAATCGAGCTATTCACCTACAATAATGTATGGGTCAGAAGGTGCTTGAGCCAGGAACGTATATGCCGTTTAGACACGTAGGTAATGCCGTTTTGGTTTCCGTCGCCGTCCAAAAAATTTGACTACTTTACAAAACTAGATTTACTAAAGGATCAAACGGCACATATTAAAGAGGGGTAAAACAGAGTAAGATCGTAAGGGTTGCCGTATACTACGAGCATACCAGGCGGCATAGTACGGAGAAATTTAGCAGTATTTTATTAACATCTAATTGTTCAGCAAGAAATAAAAAGACTCTACGGTGATCACTTATCATAACAGCAAAAACATTCTCTGTCTGCACGCTAATTTTCACCATCAACTCAGTTTCTTATTTCCTTTGTTGCTGCTTGTTTCTCTATCCCTCGCGTCCCTTAGTGCAATATTAACGTAACTATCGACCCATCCCACCATGTTAGATCTCGCCCGTTTATTCTTCACACTGGGACAACACAAGAATTCTGATATACAAACGAGTCTAGTCATTACGTGGCCATCTAACGATTGATCATTAGTCAATTGATACTCACTATTTTTCCCGTGAGAAAATTTTCAAAGCCTACCTTTTGAAAATATGAATCACCTTTAAATACTATCATAATCATCATTTTAGAGATAAAATTCTAAAGCAGGTACAACAAGCGTCGATACGCTTTTCTTTTGTATTGAGATGAAGGTTTAATGGGCTAGGACACCATTTTTGATTCTTAGGTAGAACGTGTGTGGTTGGATTGCCCGTTAATTACATCCACATATATTATAGTAAGCGGGATCATTTCTGAGCTGTCAGAAGAACCAAGTCTTCTCCCCTATATGTTTTGGATTATTCGCAATAAAATACGAAATAATGTGCTCTTCGAAACAGAAGTGCAATGGCAGATGGATCTTTAGCAACGGCTGGCTGTAAGCAGCGTCCAGGGGGCAAGCACCAGTCTAATGGAACAGTGAAATCGAAAGCCTTTCAGACGGTCGCGGTTAGGTGGGTGTATAGGTGAATGTAAGTACATGTTATATGCTATTTATGTTATGATCAAACAATACAAAAGATGCTACATGAAAAAATACGGGATACGAGAACGAAGCCGGCAAATAGACTGATCTTAGCCTAGCTAATCACTGCATGCAGCCTATGCCAGATAATTGATTTTACTCTTCTTGACTTTCCGAATTCGCCGTAGCTAAATGCAAACCTAAAATCAAGAACAAAACCTAGGCCAAATCTATCGCTCCTAGTATGCTACTTGCAAACAACACCTGTACAAGCTGGATGCAGAGCGTTTCCTAGCGGAATACAGGTTTAGATATTTGTACATACGCCTAGAATGAGGCTTGGCTACAGTGTGCAGGATAGCTTTATGTTGGCTAATTTGTATGCAATAATAGTAGTTAAAATCAAAATAGAACAGTCGCGACCACAACAGCAGTCACCGTAACAATTACATTTAAAATGTATTGGTTCCCGGTAGGAAATCATTGACCTCTATGGCTGGAAACAGCTCACCTGCAGTCTAAATCAACGAAATCTAAAAATCACGAGGTGCTTATCTTGCTAAGCTAGACAAACTACTATCGCAGGGCGGCTTACCGATTGTACGAATTATGCCGATAAAAACCGCGCGGAGTAATTGAGAGTTTTATACTACATGCTCAGAAAACACCATCGACATGATTGTGTCAAAGATTAACAATACAGATAGAAAGGACAAATGATAAAATAATAGGTATAAAATGTAAATAAACGTTTGTCATTACCAAAGAAAAATGAATAAATCGGAGTTTTCAGTTTTCCTGTATTTGGTCATTAGCAGAGTCCATTTGATGACTAGAATTTGCACTAAATATAAAAGTTTCAATTCCAAGAACCGTATCAAAAATACTACCAAGTTCACGTTTTAACGTTTACTAAATATCGTGTATATGTACCAAAATGTCTGCAAGGTTACTCAGTCCTATGTAACAATAACCGAGTTTTTATGGGGTCTCTAATTATCAAGCAGTCAGTTACTTTTTATTTTTCATAAATATATTTTTATGATAACTACTCTTAAATTTAAATGAGAAATAGATAGAAAACAAGTTTAGGAAATCGTTACCAGAATTTGACATTGTCTAAAATAAATATATATATATATATATAAGTACCTGTAGGTATAGTTCAGGTGCGAAATTTCGACCGAAATTTTCAAAAAAAGGTATTCGAGTATACGCTTGAAGAAGCGGTCTACTTAACTCAGAGAGCGGGCTCTGACTTGTAGCATGGTTTACGCAACAGGATTTACTGTTCTAACACCGTTGTGCACTTTAATCTACACGCACCGGGTTTCTACAAGGCCAAGAATCTCATAGCAATAGCAAACTTCAATGCAGTTTAATGCAGCCCGACTTAACATGACCTGGCTGAAGCCAGCGTCCCCACTACCCCGTATGTGACGTGTCAAGTAACCGCCGCATACTGTTATGATACTACGTATAAGCTGTGTGTCCACAATGCTTGTTCCCGACCATTGACTTACTCTGGTTGCCCACATCGACAACCTGTTGTCCTTGTCATTAGGAGTTTTTCAAATGTTTATCTCGAGTATGTGCTCATTTAATCAATTACAGCATTTAACTGTTCCGTTAAAAAAAAAAAAAGATCTATTTTGTCTGTCAATTGGCGTCGCTGCTATCTTGGCCAATAGTAAGTAATGATTTTACGGTTCTGAAACGTCCTCTGATGTACTATAAATTACCAATTTTAGGATAATACGACGTCTTAGCACGTCAGAAGCAGCTTTTCGACTAGCGGCTGTTTCTCTGAAGATTTAACCAGCAAGCCAGACAAACCATCTTGCCGCAGATTAGTATTGAATATAAAACGTTATCCTTTTTAGCCTTAGTTTTACCCCTCATTCTCCCTCAAAGATCAATATGGGAACTCGCCTACATATATGTGTCTTCTAGTTTGTACCTACATAATAATTCCAATACACACTGTTCGATTATACCCTTTTCCGATATGCATTGTTATTCGACTGGTTAGAATTTTTATTCATTTCGTATTTATCGTACCAGCCAGAATCTCTTTAGGTAGTACTACAGGCTTTACACAGTTGTCTTTCGTCTTTAACGAGCGTTTGACTAACTTATATCGTTGGGGTGTGTTTTACGTTTCATGATCTTTCGGCAAATTTGTCGCATCTCCTTTAACGTCCCATTAGGGCAGGTGTACACCTATATATATAGCAGGTATACACAAAAACGTTAAGACTATTATTAAGGAGCGCTGCATTTCCTGTTATCAAGTATTCTTTTAAAATTTTCCAGCAGTGTGCGTTTAGGCATAGAGCGAAACGCATTGCCTTACTTTTCTTGCGAGTGCAGAACATATGCTCGAGGAAGGCTTTTCTTAACTCTGAAGCTAGCCTTCTATCAGCACCTGCGTTACCTAGGCTAGTACGTCTTCCCTCCGTTTGTTCATCTATGCTTCGACGTAATAACGTCTTCCACAATCGCTCCCGAAGCGTGACCGGGGATGGCTGGCCAGTCCTCCTACTATTACTCTGATTATCTGTTCGTGGTCATGCTCGGTAAATTCCTCCCAGGTCATGCATCGCTCTTTAGCCTAGAGGCCCAAGAGATAACTCCTGCTAGTACCATAACGACTTGTATGCTGATTGCTCTATATATTTGAGATACCCGTAAGGCATCAAGTCATTGAACGTTTCGAAAAGGTCTTTCGTGCAATGTGTTCGTCAATTGGTCGATGCAGAATTTACAAAAAGGGCTATAGACTCTGCTACCGACATGAAGAAATTTCGTTTTGTTTCTCTAGGATAGTAGACGTTAAAAGAAAAATTAAGGAATGGTAATCAGTTTAGGATGTGAGCACTCACCATCAACAAATCCTTGGTGTGATAGCGAACCACGATACGAATTCTGAGTCCTTCTCATATTAAGACATCATTTCCAGCTCACAATTTTTCATTGTATTGCAAATCTCGGTTTGCAATCGTAATTAACTATTTGTTGCTACTGATCACTGTTGACAACTGTGCATTATACGCCATAGATAATAATAATAATGATAATAAATATTATTATCTCTATTGTTGTCTAATCAATGCGAAACGTCGTAAGGCGTGGTTTTCTTAGCACACCGATTACTTAATGCCACTAAATTTATAACCCATTAGCGCACCTACATTCGAGTAATATTCACGGTGACATTGTTACTACGTATATAATAGGTCAATCAATTGAAGAATATGGCGTCGGTGTATACCTGTATTCTCGCGTGTACTAATAATCGCTCGGGCAAGTTTTCTCATGTAAAAGCCATGTTACCGTTAGAATCACTGGGTTGAAGTGACATATTTAATTATTTTTATATCACTTGGTATCACCAGTAATCCAATTCTTTAGGAACTACGATCAATCTACATAGTTGTCCGTGTCAAAGGCCAGCACCCAGCTCTTCCTCTATAACTGCATTATCTTACAGCCATTGAAGATAGGAGCAGCGGCATGCCGATAGACTGCGCTTGAATTCCGTTTGTACTACACAGTTATACCAGACTTAACCCATGCATCGTCGGAAATATTGCATAAAGGTAACAAAGATAATGTTAAAGGTTCGATTGGCAGAGCTTTCTTTTTGAGCACAGTTTTTGTCAAATTGGTGATGTTTCCGCATCGGGTATCGTCGGACCGTTAACAATATCATTGAAGCCTTTATATGGTTTTCCGTGCTCACACCCGCGTAAATAAAGTACAAACGTAACTAAAAGTGTAGTTTTTTCATTTGGGATAACGTTACAATCTAAACCTACGCTGCTTTTCACTGATCCTATAGAAGCTCTGTCAACTTTAAAAGAGTTCCCGCGAATCTCACAAACTGTACAGAAGTCCCTGCCGATCTTCTATAAGTTAGCAGAAGAATGCACGAGGGTTTCACGTAGATCCTATACGAATCTCTACGGATTTTATAGAGGCTTTTGCAGGGACTGTAAGAAGACTCCGGAAGACCCTACAGGAGCTTGCCGCAGCCAGCACATGATTGTCTACTAGATTCTGGAAGAAATTCGTGCAAATCATACGGAGGTTAGCAGTAATAAACCCTCTGAGAATGCAGATGGGTTTTATAAAATCTCTGTTGATTTGACAAAAGTTTTTTTTTTATAGGGTTCAACTACAAATAAGTATTTGTAAGTTTAGTCTAAGACTACATTTGTTACCTCTTTTCCCACATGGTTGTTTAAGTAAATACCATTGCGCTTCCTCTCTGCGACCTCTTCACTCATAGTAACGTTGAAATCGCTATCTGAAATCATCTGCAAGCATTTGCCATGTTAACGCAATCTCGTAAAAAAATGCTTTGAAACGTACATCTGATAGTGGGAATAGTGCAGACACTCAAGCGAATACCCTATTTCAGCGCGAGTAAGCGAAATGTTTTATATCGTTATAGAAATTTTTAGAAAAATTTATCCATACGAAAACCGCGTGTTGTTATAAGCATACATAGTACCATGCATCTGTCGTCGTCCGTCGCCGGTCATCTAATTTAATTGCATTGGAAATACGCAAGCTACTTCTGATTAGCAGAGCCAATCGTTCATGTGAGGGAACCTGCAGAACCCTGTTCATGCAAGTAACATGGCACTCTGGTAAAATTATAAACTTCATAGATGTTAACGGCCCTTCCAAGAGGCTTTTAGAGCAGAGTCAAGCTACCGAGTGCTATCGTTGCAGGCAGCTCATCAGAAATCCTACTAGCTGCACTATTCGTACTATTGAGAATATATACTATCCTCGTTAGTATAGGTCGCGATTGAAAGCTAGGCGGTATCTTACCGCAGATAGCTCATTTCTCTATACAGATTCCTTTCCACAATTGTATATAAACTGCCGTCTGGGGTCTTCCCTGTTCAACAGAGAGGTTGGTTACCGCAGTATCCACTTCATGCATTACCCCAACAGTTTTCTTAAGCTGATATCAGGGCAATATATTCCTTGCCTCATAAGTAAGTCTCATACCAAAAGTGCAGTCCTTTTGTGGTGTTTAAAAGCCACCGCCTTAAGGAAAATTAACGCACTTTCTCATCAGGAAGATCCATTGAGTCCTTTCTATCAAATAAAGAAAGTGCAAACTTTGTAATAAATTACTACCCACTCTTCCCACACGAATTTGACACAAGTTATGACCTATAGACTTAGTATCTCAAATCGATCTTAGTATCAGTCATTGCTTCTTTAAAACATCCATAAAAGTTATCGCGACTTAAAATAACCGCATAAACACTGGAACTGTTTTACAAGTTTAAATTGGTAAAGTTAAAGTGAAAAAATTAAAAACAAGCATACGGATTCAAAGTAATAAATAGGTTATCACTACGTACACAAAAATGCTGTTTATTATCAATGTGGCTCTGCACCGACTTTGTCTCAGTCAAACGCCGCTTTCTACCAAACCTATCGCGATGAAGCTCTTCATTGCATTGAAAACAAAGTTCAAAAAAGTTCGATGCCATCCTCAAATCAACTAAATTTGCAGGTGCAGGTTCTACGCCAATATGTACGGATTTTACATTAGTACAGTATGACTGCAATAGTATTTAGTGGATCATCCAGAGACTTCTGCAGAACCTGCAAACCCTACACGCGTTAACTGTAGATCGTACAAGAATGTCTTGTCGGAGTTTCCTCTTATCCTATAAAAACTGATTTTTTAGAGATTTCTAATAGATCTCACAGAAATCGGTTACTAATCTTACACAAGCTTGTCAATACTATCGGAGTTTACGCCGACTTTACATTCGTCATTGGTTATAGAAGTTGTTGTAGGTCCAGAAATTTGTGCACATCGTACACACGTTTCACAAGAGTTTTTTTTAATAAATCCCGCAGAAATTATTGAAAGAATTCGTAAATGTGGTATCTCTAGATCCTAAATGAGATCGTGCAAATCACACAGGGGTTAGGGGAAGCCGCCGCAGATATTTCTAGTAAAAACAAGAGCTCCTTGTATCCTTCTAAACAAGTTTCTAATAGGTCCAATAAGTTTGCTGCCGATCTTACTGGAGTTTCTCCTAAGCCCACAGGTAATCTACCTGAATTTTTCTAGGACCGACCTTAAGACACAAATGCTAATAGTCCAGCCTACAAAAGTTTGTCTTGATGCCGCACGCGTTCCTTCCGGTCCTGCATAGTTTATGCAGATTCGACACAATTTTCAAATAGACGATATATGAGCCCATATATTTCGGCATACGATTTCGACAGACAGAATTTCGAATAGTTTATACAAAAGTTTCTAGTAGAAAATGCGCATTATAGTCACTTGCATTTTTTATCATAGCTAGATTGGCTAAAATCATTATGACACCGTGTGGTAATTGCTTAGTAAATAGTACTACTGTAACATTGTGTATATACTAGAGTGCGATTATTGTAGCTTGTAAATAATTAGTAAATGACCAGTTAGTAGAGTCAAATAGAGCCATATTTAAGTAGTATACAAACTATATCATGTCGTTTAATTCTTCATATTTAAAACTAGTTCACCCCCGCAATTGACGCTCAAAAAGACCCGAGTATGAACCTCAAGGGAACTTGGAACTGTGAAGACTGAGCAAAGTGGAATGTAATATTTCTTGTGTAACTGAAGTTGCGCAAGTTAAAAATGGTCAATTGGTGCTGTTGCATCGACAAGACACGTTTACAAGTCTACTTATTCATCACAGTAATGAAAAATAAAATTTGTTATACTTTATGAGAAATTTGACTCAGATATGGTGGCGCGCTTCTCATTTGTTTAATTAAGTAAGCACTGCAAATATTTTATCTAATAAAGTTGCAATTTATGACTGTCTATTTATTTAAACGACTCGTATATGATAGCATGTCATAATAATAATAATAATAGTTTCGATTTGCATATGTCCCGAGCGAGGGATAGTATAAATTAACTGTAATGCGTATTACGAAGTACTTTTTGTGCCATCACTTCCTCTACGGCAAGGGCTTGCTTACGTTATCCCTTATTGTTTAATATTCGTTAGCGCATAACAACCGCGAAGCTTAACAACGCATAGCTTGCAATGGTTAGAGCATTGATAAAATTGAAACTTTTCATATATAGAAACTTTACAATGATAGCACCAGTTAGTCAGCTACTGCCTCAATTGAGAAATCATTAGTTTCTGATTTTTTATTCTGTTATCATGTGAAGTATTTGCAATTTGCTAGCCAAACAATGTCGCTGAATTTTAGCTGTCACAACACCTGCAATTTGAATGATATGAGACACGCTGCTTCATAATTTCTACTTCTATGTACATTTATACGTTGACAACATCCAAGTGTATGTGTTTCATATCATAGGCCGTTGTTATCATTTTTCCTTTTTTTTTTCCTCCATGTCTTTAATGTCAAGTAACGTCTAACGACTAAAGCATTTCTTTATTTACTAGTCACACTTCTCGCTACCAGCTTCTTGGTTTCTATTCCCCTTTCGGCTGTGGTTAATAATAGGAATGTATATTATTACAAATGATTGAACCTCATTTCAGGCAAGAATGTGTGCCTTTGTGCCTGCGGCGAGCTGTGCGGTACGTTTGTCCAATCGACGCACTGCATTTAAAAAGACGCCTCATCACCACGACCGCATTAATGTCATTTGTACTGAGACGGAAGGGCAAAGAGCGAACAGTTTGACCAAGAAGTATTATCTGTTGCATCCGGAACTCTTAGAAATACTTCGAAATTCTGTCTTCAGGAGATTCCTGATAAATTGTAATCTATCTGTAGTTTAGTTCGATTGACGACTGATGACTAGCTTATATCGATAGCTCTCATCGGGTCCATAGCAATCGCGTTTCGTGATCTCGTCCGCATTAGCCGTGTATTAATCGCTGGAATTAAATAATTTTCGAAAAAAGTAAGTTAGTTATAAGTCAATACGGTAATAATCGCAATAAGTTGGTTCATATCTATTACGCTATTGAAATTTTAAGTCGCCTACAAATAGAAAAAACCCTGTTGCTGATGGGAAACACAGGATTCTGTCCTGAATGCAGCACCAATTTTGACTAAAACTAAGTAAAGCATGTTATATCAATCTTGGAGCTCTAAGAATACTTTCTTCTTGATCGTTTCTTGATCTATATTCTTTCCGACCTTTTTTTTATCCGTAGTCTGTAAAGGATTTTGACTTGACATACATGATTGCAGTTTGAACGGCTCATACCCAGAAATAGTAGCCCAGTAATAGTACTTTTCAATTGTCGTTGTTAAATGCAATTCTAAGGACCGCTAGCTCTTCAATAGCAGATTCTGGATGCTCCCACTATATCTTTCTTGTTTGGACCCAGAAAAAAAACAATAATTTGTCTAAACACGTTCAACCGGAGTACTTTATTGCAATATTTCTGTAAAATTAATTAATTAATTCTGTAAAGGAAATGACATGGAGAATCACCTTTCTTATTTAAAAACCCTAAAAGGTGTTGATTTCTTACAAAAAATGTGTTGATTTTTTACGCGATCTTGGCCTTAGTAATTTGCCTTTTAACAACCTTAGAGTGGTCTTGTTGAATGGAAAAAATTATTTAGCTCATTTAAAAAGATAGTCGTGGACTGAGTTCGTGGTATGCGAGTGCGGGTCCTCTACGACCAGCGTAAGGCTGTACGGGTTGTTTTCGAACATGCTTCCAATCGTAGCCCTGTTATCTTCATGTTTATATATGTATGTTTTTTATATATGTATTAGTATATATATATATATATATACGCTGTCCCAAAGTGTAGCGTTCCATTTTCAAAAATAGCAAACGCTGCTATATTTATCGCTCAATAGTCTACTGGCGCCCCCTTATTTTCAAACACAGGAGAGAGGAACAAACCGGAATATCAACATTTGGCGCACTCTTCATGTACACAGTGTCTTTTCTTACAGTCCAGAGTGTTGACTTTTCTATGCACCTGGAGGCAAAGACTTGAACTGTTCCTCGCACCACCATCTTACGCCTTTGCTTGGTGTTGTATTCAATGCAAGTCGCAAGACAAAAGAAAACAACACGGATTAAAATTTCTGCAAGGTAACGCTACGACTAATAATGGTAGATCATTACATCGACTATATTAGGTTGAAGTACCACTGCGTTTTTTGCCTTGCAAAAGAAACGCAGCATTTTGCTAAAATTTTACAGATGATTCATGATGTTTTTAACCAGCTTCTATGACTTTAACCCATTTCTGAAATATTTTATTTATGACGTCTCGCCGGAAATTTTTAGGTTTCGTGCTGAAAAACCCGTGCAACTAGTTCTTGGGAGCCTTTTTAATGTTAAATATTCTGTTATGAATTACATTTATTAATAATTAAAAAGATGGCAATCTGTCGACACGAATTTTGGAGAATATAGTGTACACAAAAGAGCCTATTACTCTACCTCTTGAAGGACGACTTTTTTAGTAACTCCTTTTCTATGTATGGTTTGGCATTCTCTTTTTTTTTTTGCCTTATCTATCAAATCCGTTCCGTTAAGTATGTAGGACAGACATCTCACTTGTCTTTAGATTTAGGCCATCTATCCCTTTCGCTGCGTTATATTGATGTGGAGAAACTACATTTCGTCACCCGTAGCAACTCTGCGTAAGAACCTGTTACTGGCTGAATGTTATCGGTATCAGTCGAATTATTAAGAGATAATGTCCTTTCCTTAATGTACTTTCCTGTGCCTTTCAGCCAGTTTATGGAACAGCAGACGTCTAGTCATTTTGTGTAGGCCCCGTAAGTTCAAGATCCTGCAGGATATTTTGATTACTGCGGTTAATTTTTCCAGCCAATCCAGAAGTCATTTGTCTAACATTTTCCTTTAAAAAACCTTTTATGTAGCTCCTAACAACTACAGATGGCAAAGGAACAAGATACATCATTTAGTTGCAAGATGCTATAATTGAACTTCGTAAACTGCTTTTGAACAGTCTTCTCAAACATGTTCAGTCTAACTACACTCTAAATCCAATAAAACACAAATATCTCGAGCTGCTTCGTCAGCTTGCTGCCCTTCGCGAAGACGAAAGTAAGAGTCAGTATTTATTTGTACGAAAAATAAGTATCCAAAGGGACCAGAAACATCTCTATATACCCTGAGGTCAAGGCACAATTAGCTTATGAAGAAGGAAGAGGTAGAATTTATAGGAAGAATGGATAGGCAAGGAGAAAGGGGCATCTATCTCGAGATAAATGTTACTGCCTATACACCAGACTACATAATAGCTTGGTGCATATTTTCTTTTTCGAATTTACAAGTTGGTTGAATAATTTTGTCGTTGCTACTTGTAGAGGACGTTCTATTTATATAACGCCGGAACGGTCAATGTAATGCTTTAATCAGTAAGTACCTGTCTGAGCATCAATACCCTAGTAGGTTCTCGAACCATCAACTAACGGAATGATTAATGTTAAAAAACAGTCATTATACTCATGTAGTAGTGCTCTTAGAAGCATGCTAATAGGCAGCAGTGATTTTTGGTATCAGCTCTGATCTTTAACCAAAGATTTAACCGATATCTTCAGTGCCTCCAAAAAAAACCGCGTGCCATATTTTCGAAACGCCTAAAACCTTAAAATGTAGCGTTTTTCGATACACTTATACAACGAAGAAAAATCATACCTGAATTCGCGCTTCGGTTATTCTTCCGGCGCAGTTTGTTATTGTTGCTGCAGAAAACGGCACCCGAATTCAGGGCTTCAAGTAAGTTGTCCATAACACCCTCCTGATCACCGTCAATGTCGGTGAGCCGTTGCCTCTTCTGTGCTCGTTCCTTTTTGTCTCTTTCAGCCTTCTCACGTTTTTCCTTTTCAACACGTCGTTTTTCTTCCAGCTCTCGAAGTTTTATATTCTCAGTGAAAGCCACCTACTCAATGTTAAAAGATTTATTTTTCTTAACAGCATATGGGTAAATTGTCATTTTATATTGTATTCAACATCAGCATCTGCAACGCTCGTGATCAAGCGACCACAATATTTCTATAAATATCCTATTGACTTCGAAACAGCTAAAACATTCAAGCTTACTTGTTCTGGCCATGGCCCGTTTGGGCCGAAAAATATAGACTTACATCAAACTGCTTCTTGAAGTTTGTAATGTCCGTGAAAAACTCCTCTAGAGTATATTTCTTTACATCGAATACATAGTATTCGGCTAGCGATTCAAAAAGTTGCACCATCTTAGCGTGCATTCCTCTCAGAACGTCATATGTTTGTTGAGCACGTTCATAGAAAGGCTGCATTATTTTCTCAAAATAATCACGTTCACCCTGGGGTCTAAAGTTCTTCAAGTCAGTTTTCAGATCCTCCAGTGATCTGCAACGATTGTTCAAAAAATTAGTTGCGAGTCAATAAAAAAATGCGATAAGCACTTGCTATAAAGTAAGGCAAGCATGGTAAATTAGTTTAAGTTACTACTCACCTTTTCATCATATTTAGGTTCTTGTCAACCTGCTCTACATTGACTTTGGAAGCGCGTTCAGCGTAGGAAAGTTCGTCACCGAAACCAAGCACCTCTGGATGATGTTTCTCAATGTAGTCAGCCAAAAAGTGGACAAGGGTAGACTTCTGATCAACAGTTTTTGTATTAGCCATCGAAGGCAGAAAACTGATATCGAACCCAATTGACTGAGCATTTCTTGTGCCTGTGTTTAAGATGTTACCTATTATAATAGAACCCTTATATTAGAACCATTTTTAATATCTTTTAACTCTTTCATCGTACGAAGTACATGTGATATTACAGTACACATAATTTAGTCGAAACTCTTAATTTTTTATAGCGCTATCACTTACCGCATAGTAAGACAATTTCTAGGAGTTTCGCAAACTTTTTGCTACTTTGTATTTCTTCGCAAGCTTCCGTGGCTCCAACAACCATTGGTTTGATATCACTAACCATTTCTTGAAAACGCAGCTTGAATGATATTGAGTTCAGTCGCGGATGGAGGCGTTTCATCGAGCCAAGACTTAACGCAAACTGTTCAGCGTCATGTAGTTCACTCGAATCTTCTTTAAGGTTCGCTAGCTTACTAAGTGCATCTTGCGTCGGCATATACTTTATGAGTTGCTGTATCATACTGTCATGCAGCCGACTTTCGTCCACCTCGAGAAGGCATGTCTTTATATCCTCAGCGGACATCTTCAGCGAACCCTGCATAATCACTATTAATATAAAAAGAAAGAAAGTGGGGCATATATAAACATAAAATGCAGCTAACGAATCACTTAGGTCGCGAAACAAAAAGTGTCTGAATTTTCCATCATAGAGAATAGTACATATATGACGATATAACAGAAAATTATTATATTGTATTCAAACTTACTCAAATTTTGCGCAGCCTTCGCATCGATAACTTTAAGCTCCTTCGAATTCTTTTTACTTCCTACAGCAGCTCCATTTGTGCCGTCATCTTTGCGATTAATCTCCTTCTTTGCAGGCACAGTTGCGAATTTTGATGTTAACTCTTCCAGTAACGCATCTGTTACAAACTTCTCTTCATCAACATGAAGCCAAAAGGCTTTCTGTGTTACTTGTCTTGGATTCACTTTTTTCCAGTTCGCTCGTTTTAAGGTCCCAGATATTTCGAATTGCTTCTTGGGTTTCATACCGAAGGGAAGAACATCAGCGACAGTACCAAACCCGAGCATTTTGTTTGCCGCACCTCCCGGTGGCGGAGGTGGGAGAGGGGCAGAACCTAACAAAAGAATCGTTTTAGGAAATAGATTAATGACTTTTTAATAAATCTTAATAAAATAAAAGTATAAACTAAAGGACAGTACAGACAGCAGGAGGTCAAATGGTGAAGTCCGATATGCAGAAAAATACGGAGCACGTGTAAAAGGTTTCTTAGAAACTTCCAAATCAAACCGTGCACGACATTGAGACAAACTCGCACAATTAAATATTTGTATCGAAAATGAGTGCCATGGCAAAAATGTATTATAATCTGTGTAAAAGCCTAGCACCGCAACAATCATAACTATCTCGAAATATATATAACTATACAAAATATGGCTCGAAAACGTTCTTAATATATTTTAGACGAAATCAATTGACCTAATTATATAGGCTAACAGTTAAGTTCCAAAGTGGATGACAGTTATCGTAGAGGGTCGATCAACTAAATCAGAACTCGTTCGACTAATCTCCTACGGTTTTACGAATGCATTCATTCGAAATCAGCACCAATCGACAAAAGATTCGTTCCAAGGAGGAAAGGAGTGCATTGTGATTGCAACGTCAAAAACGATCAGTCATTATCTATTATTCACGGTTAACGAACTTCTGCCAGGGTAAAACTTGCCCTTCGCCCGAAGTCGACGGCCTATGTTATTGTTGGTTAGTTCTTTTTAGGCTTTCTAAGTAGTCCTGCACTTTTTGGGCTTTTTCACGGCCTTCAATTGTTAAAACATATTTGCTGTTTCGGGCCCTTGAAACTTGGAAATCGTTTCGAGTCTTTGAATATTAGGGACTTTTGGTCTGCTATTAGCCCAAAATCTAATTATGTGGAATTTTTGTATCCTGCCTATTTGAACAACGTTTCTACAAGTCGACAAGTACCGATATCGCTTAGCGCATGGTTTGCATTAGCAAATTATCTGCGGATTAAGGAAGGAATATTTTGAAATTATTTAGTGAGCGATATAGGCTCCGTATTGAAGATGTAATTAAGATGAGTAGCAAATACATTAAATAAGCATAATCATAAAGAATGACGCTTCAAGTGTATACAAAGAAATCCCGTCGAGCTATCTGTTTCTATTACATAAATGCAATCTTCATTAAAAAAAAGTTCGGATTTAGATGGATGACTCCGTATGTAAATCTACACCCCATGTGACAAGCTAACCGGACTGGACAGTTCGCGTCACCGGTTGTTGGTAGTACCGTCACAATAGCGAAGCGGTTGCCATGATTACTTTCTTCGTAGGGTGCTCTTCTTGACAAGATCTTTAAAATACTTCTCAAACCTTTTTTATTTTATAATATACGTTGTGCAGATAGTGGGGAGTTAGGCTAGCAACTTCTGATTTTTTAGCTAGAGACTTAATCGTCCATTGAAACAATAGAGAATGGTTTGAATACGCAAAGGAAACTATCTTAATGGTTCTTAGTTGACGATACGCTCTGGGGTACGTCGATACGTACCATGAGTTTGTGAAAGCGGTGGAGGTGCTCGAACCCCGCCAAGCGGGGAAGGTAAAGGTGGCGGCGGAGGAGGTGGAGCACCAGGTAACCCACTTCCAAAACATTTCCCAGGCATAGGAGGGGGCGGTGGTGGTGGAGGAGCTCCACCTGAAAGTGGAGCTGAAAGGATCGCCATGCCTGCCACGAATGTGGTAAAAAGTATAACAAAAAAGTGACAACGCTTAATAACTGGAAGTTACCAGGATGTAGATATGTGGGTGTTGGCCAAAGTATATTTACTCAAGATATAGTGAGTTATAGCAAAAAAGTGAAAGTAGTGTATACACTATTCAATACCACGAAACTTAGGATTTCATGATAAGTTTTAAATTATTCAATTCTACGTGACCTAGTGAAGTGTTTGACAAATGTGTTAAATGGAGGAAAAGTTGTCTAGTATAACACGCTTATTTAGAATCGTCTTGACAACTGATCTCAACATTTATAGCTAGTGAAATACTTTACCTGGCATAAAGGGCGGGGGCGGTGGGGGTGGCGGTGGCGGTGGCACTACCGATGTTCCGCCATTTGAAGAGGTTGCACCAGGAGGTGGCCCTATCCCTTGTCCTATCAATAAACCTGCCGGCACCTGCAATGCCTTTCCAGGGGATCCCTGGGCCGAAATTTGACCGAGCTTGGCTTCGTAGTTCGCTAATTTCGCTTCCATTTCTTGTTTTTGTGTTAACGCTTCTTCAAGACGATTTTGCAATGCTTCAATATTGATATCTTCTCCAGATGAATGTCCCTTCACGCGCTCAATGAGCTCATCAACATTCATTTGAAACTTCTGGGTGTAACCAAAATCGGGATCAACCCCGTTTCGATGTAATACAATTTGGGCCACGCACCCATCCACCAACTTGTAGTAAGCGGGCCTATGTAAGAATAATATAGGTCGTTTTACTACAATACAGAATCAGCTTTTTAGCTCTTTAACCGCAGTATTTAGGGTGTAAGCTCTGAAATCATATGCGTACAAAATATTAAAGGATAAATGCGTAAAAGAACAAGTACATACCTAATTTGGGCGTCATCTCGAATAAGTAAAAGATGCTGCAAAATTGAAAGGAATGCAGAGGCAGCTGGTGTATCCGTAATGCTGGCCTTTATCATATCAAAGCATTCCTGCAGATCAAAGAAGTCTTGGGCGATATTTTCATGCTTTTGCGTCAACTCCTCAAAATCATCTTCGAGGGAGTTCTTGAACACCGTGAACTGTCGTCCGAGATCCACAGATAAGTGCTCTTCTTTTATCAGTTTTTCGTATACGCTGAGCATTCCGCACCGCATGAACTCATTTCGTAAGTGCACCCGAAAGTCGTAATCTTCAACATCTAGTAAAACATTTACCATTTGCAGGCAATGTTTTCTAAGTGCGTCCTGATCAGAATCTAGACCCTCCACAATGGCACGGAACCTTTCAGTACCTTGCTGTTCTGCTGTGAGGGTTAATGCATTCAATACTGCAGACTGTCCTCCCTCAATGATGCAAAATGGCGCAATAAGTCGAACCGCTTCAAGCATAAGAGATGGTCGATCCGGACGAAGACTTCCACAAATCGTCTGTAGTGCTGTTGAATGCCCCCGGACGTATTTCGTACCATACTGTAATAACAAAGTAGCATCTATCATTTATTATTATGTCACGATACGCAGTTAGATAACTTATAAAATACCTTAGAGAAAAGAACAAGAGCAGCAAATCAACTCTGCTTATACAGGATTGACATTTTAAATACTCATTTAAACCATACATGAGACATTAAACAAACATAATGGCTTTTATTAATAAGCTTGCGCAAGTGCGTTTGAAGAGACGGAGTGTACCGTCGTTGAGCTCACATCTTTAGTAGAAATCAAACAACCGTGTCGGAACACGTATGGCACAACGCGGCCAATATTTTAGAGTTGTAAACAATGTGCAAGAAGGTGTACCATGCGTGCGCTAGCTTAAAAATGTCCTGCTAAAAAGCTTGATGGACTGGTCACACTGATGTGACAATTATGACGCATACTTTGAAAAATATCTACTATATTGCTACAAACGCAGTACCGTGAGTTTATAGTCACTGTAAAATGTATTTTTAACCTCGTAGATCACATGAAAATTATGTCATACATAATGTTTTCAACGACCTCCTGCTGGATTCGTTCTTAAAGACGGCAGCTTAGGCTCTTTGCATATTTCTTACGGTAGAAGCATTTATTATATGAAAGCCGTGAGGATATAAAGTAATAAAAACATGCTGAACGACTTGAAAGAAAGACCAATGATAGATTTAAAAGAACACGAGCGAATTGCATACAATCTAAAAATATTAATCAAGACAAATAATGCGGTTATGTTATACTCTCACGCTTGGTTTATACGTTATTCTTTTGTTTAGATATTAATTATTTTTCGTCCCTTTTCTACTCGAGCGTCAAATGCAAGTGGCTGTCACTACATGAATGGTGGTCAGCCAAATCCGAACGGACACGATTGTTCTACGTTGACGACTGTTCTTTTCTGTACTATACCACTTGCAATCACTCATAATTTGGTCTTACTAATTTCTCGTTCGCCGAAAGCGTTTCTCAATTATTTATTAAAAACTATTTTCTCTCTTTTTTTTTATCCTTTCTTTGAGTTAATGTCTAAATATTATTCCACACAGAGCATGACTTTTAGGTATCGACTACAATAGCGTGGGACTTGAGCCAACGTGCTCTAGCTACCGTACCCACTAAATTTACACGTTCTCGGGTCCTGCCGTGGTACTTGTCTTTATCTCTTTTTTTTTTAATCTATCTTCGTTTTTATGTTAAAGTTAGAGGTTTAAGTAAAAGTCAAGTGAAGTAATCAGTTATGCTCAGCGACATACATGAGCAAATAAAATCTTTTATCTTCAGCATTGCACAGAGAGGCCAGTTAGAAAAAAAGAATCGTGTCACACACGCACCTTGACGCGCTTCGACATTACTCGATCTGTTGCAAAAAATGGTATACCGAGTTCGGCAGCGCCTCCTAACGAGCATGTGAATCCTTATAATATTTTTTGGTGATTTCCAAACCTTAAGACGAGTTTTTCTAAAATAATTCTTTCTACTCAGTTGTTTTATTTCGAACTGCTATCTTCTTAAGAGTTTTTACAATGTCTCTTCTTTTTTTAAAATTCGAAATGGAAGTTTCCAAAAATGGCAAACCACTTTTAGAATTCGAATTCAAGGTACAGTTTTGTAACTCGGGCAAAAAAACCGTAATAATAGATATGTCGATCAAAGAGTATACATTGAATATATAAAAATATGGAACAACAGATAGATACATAGTGTACATAGTGCTGTTTGACGTACTATTGGTGTCTTTAGTAACAAAACTCCATGAAACATCAGCTTTGACTCACCCCATTATTAATGGCAGCCCGGAAACATCGAATTAAGTCGATTTCATTTTTCTCGTTAAATTTTTTGCTGAAATAGGGTTAAAAATGAAAGAAGTTAAAAGTATATATTTCCTGATAGAACTACACTTTCACAGATACACAGTGGGCTCTAAAAATTTCAAATAACAAATTGGTTGTTTTAAAACAATGCGTCTGACTGAAAATGTAAAACGGAAATATCAAAGGATCTCAAAAATTCCCGAAAAATAACAACTTCGGAAAGATAAAGAGTGGCAATGCCTTTCGCTTAAAATTAAGGGATCTATTGAATAGGATGTGCTCTGAATTCCTAACCGCAGTGAGGATTCAAGCTTGTGTTGATATCACGAAAACCGACTGTAACAGTAAATGCGTCGCAAGGTTGCAAGTATATTTTTTTCACAATGAACTACACTAAGATATTATCAAAATATAACAATGATTGTGCTGAAACTTTATTTTGGTTGCACTGAGAAGGAAATCAAGGTATATACAACTCCTATATCAACTTGACATCTTACCTAACTTAACTATAGTTTGGAAACCTTGAAATTGACGACTTTGCCGATCTGTGTAATTTATCTTGGACTTTCGAAATAAAGGAAGAGTTACTATTGCCTTCACTACGACCCCAATGGATTACTGACTACTCCACGTGGATTATTCAGACAAGTGCGCAGGTGAACAACTTTGACTAGCAACGACATTCCACCAAATACACAAGCATCATACAGCCGACGAGTCCATAATAGAAAAATAGCCTAAAGGCTTGAATAAATAAACTATACTTATGTATATATTTAAAAATGTATTTGCTATTGATTTTACTTACTTTTGCTGGCATTTGCGAACCAAAGCGAGAATTTCATCTGTGCCGCCTTTGTCAATAAACTCTTTGACCCATGAGAGAGGATTGCTGGTTAAAGCAATTCTCAGACTTTCACAATGTTTCAAGAGTTTATCCGAATTGAGATGTTCGTTACGCAGGCACTGGATAAATTCGAAAGGGGTTTCCAACTTTCCACGCTGTAATTAGGAAGAATGGATAAAGTAAAATGGACAGTAAATATTATATTGATTAAGCGGTGTCCCATAATAATCAACGTAACAACTACTAAATTTTAGAAAAGACATACGTCATTATATAGGCAAGTAAGACACATATCATTGAATATTTTCACATCCAGTATGCACAAATGTAAGTGTAGTTTATTAAGAATATAACGAATGAAGGCGAATCGGCGAGAAAGTCCTATATTCTACAAGTAAAGTTCCCGGCGCGCTGGGTTTTCTTAAGCATGGTACTATTGATGGTCGCTAGAAGGACTACCTAAGACCGCACTTAATAAGAATTATATAGCCATTTTTCTAATAAGCACCAGGAGAATCTACGTAGTGCACTTTATCACTTCTCTCTATATAGGTAAAAAATAATGCATTTCTTTCAAAATGCTCTCGTTTTCATCAATACTTCCAATATAGTTTCCATCACGAAGTTTCGAATTTAACAAACTTTGTTTTTTAGAATCGATTTTCTCATTGCTTCCTTAAAAATTTGAAAAAAATAATCACAGAAAAAATACCTAATTTAAAGTCACCCTCCTAAAAATCTGTAAGCGACAAAAAAAACTCAGTCATAAATAATATCAGTTGACAGTTCTCCATCTGGAGACCATATTCGTGCAATATATCGTATGTATCAACTTCATAGATTTACTTTTAGTCATAGAAAGGAAAGGTGTTAGTTCAAAGTGTTGTCTAATCCATGTAGAAAATAAGAGAAATATCCCCCCCTCGTTAAAAAACATAGGAAATACCGTTGTTTTAACTCAGATTGCAGTCGTCGAAAACGAAACAAAAGCTCAACGAAAAATAACAGGGACGTACTATAAACGCGAGGATATTAGATTACTTGTTCCCATTTTGAAAATCAGTCCACCAACCGTGTCTATGTAATAGTTCAAAAGCATGGGTCCACATAGCAAACAGACTCACCACTGTTGTTCCAGTCGTCTCTCTCATTGAAAGCATCATCCGCTTTTCCTGGATCGTCTTCGTCAGCAAACTCTCTTCCGACTTTATATTCATGTCCTCCTGGAAACAAGAACATTTGCTGTGGCACTTATTCTTATTAAACGTAAAAACCGTAATATAAACGCGACCTGTGTGAAAAATTGATGTAACTGCTTTTAAGCACTATTTCTAATGACGATGGATGAGCATCGATTCTATTTTCAGTATGTCACGAATACTGAATTGTTCCATAAGTTCGTTCCAAATTTTAAAATAGTTTATTTTTGTGAAAACAATCAAAGTCGAGTAATGGAATAAAAGCACTTTCTTTGCACGGCTGTCTTCCGGCTCTGTTATGATACTACTTTCGATTCGACTGCATATCCCAATCAAGTTGCACAACCTTCTAAAGAGAAAGATATCAAAAGTGTATTTAGCATCTATTTTGAAGTTTTGTTTCTGGACAGGACTAAATGCGACCCGAACTCGTGGGGAAATTACTGGGGTACACGGACCTTTGTTCCCGGTGGTTCGGTCGTTTTTGAACTACTAACTCCACCATCGAGGACAAGACATGGCGCAGGTTGACCCTCTGACTTTGAAAACTGTCAAAATTCTCACTGTACTCGATAAGTACTAACATATAACCACTTGCTAGATTGCACAAGTTGAACAATCTACGAAAACATTATTTAAAGTAGATAAGGGCCCAAACGTTGTAGTGTCATTTAAGGAAAAATTGAAGCCAGACTTCATGCAAAGCAGGTAATGTTCTGCATTATCTTCTTTGGGGACGAATTGTAGAGAACTGTTCTTCCATAAGCCTTTTCCAAAAACCAAAATGTTAACTCAGTCAAGCGCTGTCAACAGCTCGACCCTTTAAGGCAAAGCATTCAAGAAATACGCCTGGCTATGGCGAATAAGAAAAGGGTCAGGCTATACTACGACGATGCTAAGACTTCCACATCTTGACTAATCTGCCAAAAATTATATGAATTTGAGTGGGACACTTTGCCTGACCATCTTAGTTCTGATTTTGCCCTTTCGGATTATTATCTGTTTCGATCTCTGCAGAACTTCTTTCAAAAGAATAATTTTGTACTGTTAGAAGACATAAAAAAACATTTAAAGCAGTTGATTACAGATAAAAATGATAACTTTGGGAAAAATAAGATGGAAAAGCTGCCTGAAAGATGAACGAGAGTTGTTGTTAACAATTATTCATTATTACCAACATATCATGAAGTTGTTTAAGCAAAAATTATTTTCATTCAAAATTGCACACAATTGTCGAACGACACACAAGACAGACACTCAGATTTCTGTGTAGGCACCGAGCATATTCATTTGCAGTCTTTTGAAAATCGATAAAACAAATATATTGGAATATAATTTGTTGTACACATCAAAATAAAATACGATACCGAATGTACATTCATTATGTTTGAATCATTTACACTTTCTTTATCTCAAACTCTTTAGTTTATTTCCTATCATTGGTCTAGGTCAGTTTTTAACCGCCTATTTCTTGAATAACTTCGATTTGTTACCAGTTAAAAATTTTACTCAAAATTTTGTTTTTCTTCTTACAGAATTGTGAAATCTGCGTTCTTCAAATGCCGATATTGACATTTACCTTTAAGGCCAAGCTGGAAATAAGAGTTTATAATGCGAATAATTATGGCAAACCTTCCGGCTTAATTTGCGACTGGTTCTGATTTTTATATTTAATGCTCATACGTTTTTTCTTTGAACATGTTTGTATATTTTTGTATTATGTGATATCGAAATTAGCATCCAATAAGAGTAACAATACATCCACTTTAAACCTTGAATTCGTAATAAAATAGATTGGAATATGGCTAAGAGGAGACAATAGTGATGCAGAGTAAAGACAGAACTGCGTATAACAGGGCAAATTAATAGGTTTTATTTCCCAACATTTAAGAATAATGGGAAAAACTTTTCTTGTACGTGTAATACCAGTGAAAAATACTAAATCTTCTACTGCAATCATTGGTTTAACCGATAACTAATTTGTATGTCTTCCATTTACAGTCAACGTTCCACTTGGTATTCTATCAAGCATATTTCAACGTTCTTCAGCTCCTTATGTTCAATAAGGCTATAACAGCGAATCTTGACCTCTTTTTCCTTGTAAATTGCTTCGGTTTTCCCACATATCTGGTTTCCCAGATAATTTTAGTTATATAGGCTTTATTTCAGTCTACTGCTCAGTCCAGAGAAAAATTTTAGTAAATTAGCCTCATTTATTCAGTCAGATATGTATTTGTATTGACGATTATACATACACATATTACGCATGTTCATGTCAAAAACATTTTAATCACTAGAAATATACAATTTCCTAACATTTATTAAATCAAGCTAGATCTTCTTTGGCAAAACTACATGTACACCCTAGGTCGTTAAAGTATACTTCTGAAGTATCCATAACTTTTCTAATTATAACGGTTTAGCAGTTCTTGTGAAGTGCTACTAATTTGATGACCAATCTAGGAGGACGTTTTTATTTGAAACCGTACTTCCGTTTTCAACCCCACATAGCCATTCATTTATGATAACCTCGTAACACGACACGCGCATCCCTTGGAAAATGTAGCTTACCTACTAAGACAACAAGGTCCGCCAGGCAGCAGTCTATATTATATAAAAATTTACCGCAGAGCTTTGACCAACGCATTGTCTACTCATTGCACCTAAATACCAATGCATGCAATATAGCAGACTGTATCAGTTCAGACATGCCGCGAATCTTGTTTTAAGTAGATAGCTCAACGCAGACGACACCTGATCTCTCTAATGGCTTTTTTTCTGGCGTGATTCTATAATCTGAGCAAAATGCTGCTCCATTCTCAAGCACGCCTGTGCTCTTCTTGCAGCAATATTGTTAATAACCATGAGACTAAGCTCACGGTTATTAGTCTCACATAGTCACCAACAAGGCTTTGCTGTCGTGAAGGTTGTTATAAACGTACTAGAAAACATCTAAGTATTTATTTAGGATTATTTCTCTTGCTATTGAAGTTATTGGCACAACATCCATTAAGGGTTGCGGAGTTTTAACATGCAAGCAACAAACGAAATGTGGCAATAACACCAAGATCTTTGCAACGAGTTTCTATGAATTGATATTTGGCTTGGCTGCTCAAAAGCAAGCGTTCGCTGGCTCATACTGCGTTGTTTAAAGAGCTTAACGAGGTAGCAACGAGCGTACCGCAGTGCTTCCGCTAACCAATAAAAGGCTGCAGATCTCGGGCTCATCGGTCATCAGTGTCAACGGAGTCGACTTTGCGGTGTGCATAATCATACCTCAAATTACAACAAACAAGAAACAAAGTAGCATCATTTTTAGATTTCTTCACAATCGTCATCTGAATCAAATGGCTGAAAAGAAGGAAGTCTGGTTACCTTACTGACGGTTTTTTTGAGGTCTCTCGGTTAAACGACAGCTGAAGTAGTTTATGTGGCATAACCGGCTGTAACAGACCGCCAATTCCAGAGCTAGCTGTCATCCACAAGGTGGTGCTTGTCAAAACTGGCCAATCAGCCCATCAGCTTTGTCATGACCATATATGACTTATAATCAGAATTAAATTTTACTCAGTCATTGAACCTCTTAGGCCCGTATACAAATATAGTAAAAACAAAAACCGACTGAATCAGAGAAGTCGACTTCAACTAAGACTCACTATGTTCTTATTAACGTTTGTGCAAACGAATTTGGTTGTATATCCAAATTATTGGTAGCACAAAGTAGTAGAAGCTTATTAATATAATTCTTTCAGGGCACATAGAATGTCCGTTGATTCGATGAAAAGGAAAATAAAAGGTCAAAAGTGTATATATTACTACCTATTTTCATATGTACGTATAAAAATGTAATGTAGATAAAACGTTTAGATCGTTTAAAACGTCTTAGGAATAACTATTTATATAAAGTTGCTTATTACTGCCAGTTTACTTACCAGCATCTCCTTAAATCTGCGTTCGACCTCGCTGTCCGGCAGGGCATTAAGTATTTGTTGAGCTGTGAGCTGGACAGAGTTTCCGTTAACATCATCCTGCGAGGTAATTGAAGGCGTTGAACCCTGTAGTGAAAGTGGAGCCTTAGCTCTGCCAAGCGAAGCCATTCCGACACCTCCATTTCCGCCGGTGGTTCCGGAGACAGTTCCTCCGACGACGCCACTCAATATACCTCCACTACCCCCCGACTGACCTTTCTTGCTCTTCTTGGTACCGAACATATCCAGCTGTAAACAGAATACAACAGTGCAAATGTTGTTAAAATTACATCTCTAACGCTGAGGGACACTACAAGTCCAAGCCACCTAAATAATATTTCCAAGATAAAATCCTATAAAAGTGGCGTGTGTCCAATCGGTATTACCCCACTAAAGGCACTCAGATTCTCTCTGTTTTACACAATGAGGCGTGTTGTACTGACTCGATTTTTAATCTGCAAAAATTGCAGCCGCTAGTGGGGTAATGCAAAAATGCACAGGTTATCTCTGGCACAAAAAAATCGAAACTCGAAAGCAAGATACATGATTAAAAATTCGCCTGTAAACCTGCGTCCATCGTTCTTGTCTGTATACCTCAATTGTTGGCTTTTAAAACTGCACTTACAACTTCATGTAGGAACAAGCCACGTTTCTTCAATATGGGACCAACTGACATGCATAGCGGAAAGACATTGCAAACAAAACATTTTGCATGTGTTTACACTATTAGTGCAGCGCCTGTAGATCACTTGTATTCCTTGGACAAGCTAGTTCACGCATGTCTGAGAGCCAGTGGCCTTTAAAATGGCAGAGGTTTTTGCTTTGAAAACAAAACGTGTGGCTGCGATCCATCGTTCTAGCTACAACTGACATTTTGTATCCCGAATGAGTTCGACTATTGCAACTGTACGCAGAACTTCGAATAAGAACAAAAGATAAAAAATTCTGAAAATTAATAATCGTTTCTGGTTATTTCAGCCAAATGGATGCACATAAGAGGTAGCGCAATCAGTAACGATGACAGATACCCCAGGCTGCGGCGTTGATCTCCGGGAAGCACACTCAACCCTTTACCCCGATCTTCCGTCAAGAACAGTTACCATGAGACTAAATTGAGGCTTAAGTGTATACCTCCTCATCTATTATCTCAACTTACACCCAGGCTTGTTCAAAACGAGTGACGTTTTTTCCGGATTAGTACCAACATATTTTTAGAAAGGTTAAAACTACTAATGCCAGTGGTCTTTGCTAGCAACATAATGCTAATGATCAATGGAATCTAATGCGATTTACACAAATACTGTTATTTGGGCCTTTTGCACACGATTCATGAATATCAACTAATTCAAATGGTTCACAGATAAAACCTCTGTCTAGAAACTACAGCAGCACCCACAGCTTGCCGCCTAAGTTTTGTCTTCAGTGAAAGTTCAACTATTAATAGCACCATGTGCCTTTGCTTTCTAGAATTCTAAAAAGAAATTTTGAACCCGAAAATGGGTGTCGTGAAAGGGTAACTAGTAAGGTGCTCCAAGCTGTGGCAAAAGCCAACCCGTCCTAAATTGCATGAGTGTTAGTATTCAATTATGGTGCATGTGAAAATTTCATACTTGGTCACCTCAGTCAAACAGAAGGTAAAAAAAAAATAGAACAATTGGGCACCGCATGATTTGAGTGGGAATAAAAAATTAGAAATAGAGATGCTTGCTTTTATTTGATCTCAGTTTAGAACAGAGGCCCACTGTTGCATCGACTGTGACTTCTAAAGAGCAATGAATCTTCACAGTAATCACAGATGGTTCCATTCGTAGATAGATGTCAGACTTTTACAGCAGCGCATTATTAATTATTATCCATGAGGCAGAGTAATCATAGATTGTATTGGCGCTTGCCTCAATTTAAATAAGTATGCTGACGAAAAAATGTAAAAAAATCAGCGTTTACCATATCAGAATTCGTTCTGCTGAAAGAAGTTCAAGAATGTGAAAATTATAGAAGATGCCGCCGATAATATGTTGAGAGATCTAGCTTTTTATAACCTTGATGGACATTCTTTTTACTAATACGTGCAGATAGACGAATAATGCGAAAAAAAAGGATATTTAAGAAGAAGAAGCAAATGGCACCTTTAGGCTGTTGTGTTTGATTACAAGTGAGGCTTGTAAGACAATCCACTATGTTGAGTTGGAAAAAAGGAACAGATACAACATGCTGCACGAAGTCTTTCCATAGAATAAGCGAATAGCAGAATAATTGACAGTGTAATTATTGCAAGACGACTGGAAACGGACCGGTGCCATGATAATATAAAAATCAATCCACTTAGGACACTGCATATCATTACATGGCGTCTTTCTACGAGTATGGCCAGGTTAAGGCCTAATAAGGACATCTTGTATAAATTGAGAGTTATGAAATTAGAGAGAATAAATCTGCAGGTGATTGCAAATTAGCCTTATAATCTTCACTACAGATACTCAATTGGTTCTATATAGTTAATTGCGTATTAAACGTTCCATGGCATTTTCGTTGGTGCGGCATTGTGCCCGACCGACTAGATGTGTAAACCTTTGCTGGTCCAAATTATGCTTTGTGGAAGGCCAAACCCAACAGCAGCAAAAATACTGAAATACCTTCCAGCAGCCAATAGATTTCAGATTTTCGGTTGTCGTCGTTAGAAGTGGGACCAACTTGACTTTAAAACCAAAAATAACCAAAGTTCTCAAAAATGAAAGTCCAAGACGATAAGACTTATAAATATTTATATTTCACTACGCATCACTTGTTCTAATAATGGACAAAATTAGCCATGGTTTGCTTCTCTCATGTTTCAATGCACAGTCTACTAAATAAACCCAAATAACCGAGTACCAACAGGACACAGGTCTTGCGTCAAAAAACATTTTTTGCTAACTTCCTTAATGGATGCATAACCGCATTTACGTATAAAATAGAAGACAACTTGGCATATCGCATAAAACAAATCCTAAAGTTGTTGCCTCGAAATAAAGTTAATTTGTTGACTTGGTAGTCAGGCGAAGAATGAATTTATAAGTATGCATGAGTTCACATGTATGCATATTGACGTAGATTAAGTTGAGTGTTTTACAGACTGAACATTGTGTCCTTGATTTGGGCCCACTACGCAACGATAAATATGCAACTCTCTTTGGATGAGACATAACACAATTGTTATGAACAGCTCAGCTGAAATTTGTTTCATAACTTGCTACAGCGTTTTCAAACAGAAGCACCTCTGGGCGTAAATAGATCGTTATACTGTTATTAGAGGATTGGTCACAGAGCTGATAATGAATATCATGTGGTTATATTCAATCAAAAAACGTTTGAGGCACTTCGAAATAGCTGAATATATGCGTTCTCATTGGAACTGATAGTTGAGTCCCTATTGATATAGCTCAAATCCCTAGGATGTCATAACAATGTATTAATAAAGATCAAATTTTTGAAGAAACAGCTGTTCTGTGATATGTCCTGGTTCTTCCTAATCACTTCTGCTCTTTAATATTCTTTATACACCTTATACGAAATAGGTTCTGAACGCGTAAAACAGATTTTTTACTTTAATTCGTGGTAGTTAATAAATGAAAATCAGTTACCGTACAACACTGTCAGTTTGTATCTGGGCTAAAAGTGATAAAAGTTTTCCGAGTGCAAAACTTGGCAAGGCAAATTTGACTTTCGGGAAGAACGCAGGATGCTCACTGGCCGTATTTACCGGTAACACAAGATTCACCAGCATAAGAGCTTACTTCTTGCTCCGCGTCGAAGCTGTGTTGCCCGAAAAAGGACACTAGGAAATGAGCCGGAAGTCCTGTCCTGCAAAATAATAGACCCTTACATTATGTCATCCTTAAAACGGTTAAATTAAAAAGGTATTGGATGTAAGCCGTAAACAACAACACTAGATTTTCATTACAATGTTAATTCATTCCTGATTCACAACTTCTACTACCTTGCGAAAGTTGGTGCTCATCTCTGACAACTTCACAAGATCACTTTTACACTGATACGAAGCACTTAAAAGTGTTCGATTCGGCGTCTGGAAGTACGTCGTCTGGAACAGGTAAGTTTCTCACGTATAAAAGACAATGATAACCAAAATTAGCGGTGTCAAGACGCAATAAAACTTTCAGGGAACGGAACTTAATAAATCGAGTAAAACTGTGTTGCTCGGCCATATTGATTCCTGATCACTTTACCATAAAAAAAAAACTAGCGTTCAGCTTAGTCAGCTTCACCAATTTGGTACTTTAAATTTTTAGTATTCTGATTCCTTAACCTTTTGAATTTGTATTACTTTATTTTTCGTATTCCATCATATTTTCCAATATTGTAAGTACAAGTACCTCAAAACTTCGTCTAGACTCACAAATTGGCTAAAACACACAGTTAGTCGCCGACGTTTCTTGAAGAATCAAAGAATTTTTTTTTACTGATTTTCTTATACTTGCTAACCAAAAAATATTTGAACGGAAAGTTGTAAATCAAATTACAGGGAAAGCCTAAGTTTCATGCCCTAGTTGCTAAAGTTTGTTTCCATAATTAGTTAATGTACCCAATTTACCAAACTAAATGATCACTTTATAATTGATTACTGTCCTTCATCGTTAAGGACTAGAAACTCTGGTATGTAGACTTCATGTAATGCACGTATTTAACGAATCTGACTTCATCATTTTAAACTTCTCTCAGTTCACCCTGCCACTGACACTATTCTCTTACTTGTCACCTTCGAAAACTAGACACCTAGATAAAATATATCAGATCAAAAACCAGATCCAAAATTATTCTAACTACCACCTAGAAAGTAAAACCATACCTTGATTATGCCCAGCCTTCAACTATTAAGACAACTTGGCTTCTACTGTGACAGTTGTAGAAATTGTTGCAATACAAAGATTTTTTAGTGATCAGGTTTCCTATACTATAAAGTATAATTTCTTAAAGGTTATAAGGGTTTTACAAATAAAGTAACGGGCGAGATTTGAATTTAAACAAAAGAGCAAGTAAAAGAGAGGTAAAGTACTGCTTTGGCTGTTTAAATAAAATATAAATATGTTAGTTCTGAAGTTCTGCACTAACAGGTGGACGGCTGGGTTGAACATTTATTTGCACCATATATTCATGACAAAATTTTATTTCAAATATAATTTTGTGAGATAATAGATAAGTACGGCTTCTTACAGAATACTAACGTCGAATGAAAAATCAAAAAGACTTACAAATCAAGTGACGGATGAGATTTGATAACAAAAAATGTAGTGAAGCTTTTCTTAACGTTGGTTCGAAGTGCAGTTGGACTTCGAACATAAATAGGTCATCACATAAAGATAGGAACTGAAATAAGGCAACTTTACATAACGTTAATTCCTGCTAACTGAGTTAAAGTTTTTGTGTCAGTTGTGACCTGTTACAAAATTCTGACACCACGAGGCTTGAATTTTGTTTGCAAGCAAAATTACGCTTAATTAATTTTTACAAGTAAAGAAAAACAAGTAAAAAAAAGATTAGTAAAAAAAATTAGCGCAGTGCTTTTTTATTGATATTATTTGATGATTCCCTTGTCTATTTCTTGATCATTGAAAACCTGACAACGAGCTTGGTAATTTTTCAATGGTAAATTTTAATTTTTGTGAGCTATGGCACAAAATACTTGACACTCAAATATAATATTCTACAGATTTCTCTACAGCGTCTTATTCTACAGCGATTTCTCGGTTTCCAAAATATTTTTCATTGTCGTTCCATATATTTGACAAAATGTATTTTTTGTCATATATATAATGTATAATTTGCGCTCAAACCTAAGAGGTGCAAAAAAGTGATGCAAAATTAATGACCTTAATTGATAGCATATAATGCTGAATAGATACTTGAACCGCCTTTAGATTAGTTAATTCAACATCTAGAAAAATAAATGTAATAATAATAACCATATATATATATATATATATATATAGTTAACTAATAAAAACCAATGTTCTTTCCATTGTGCAGCCTTGTAAAAATTAGCTTATAAAAAGGGTTGATAAGCTACAAATTATTTTCTTAACAAAAGCGGAGAAGCGCTATAGATCGACGTCGTGTATGTTGACTCCAAGAGAAAGTCTTATGACCTGCTACTTCTTGTGCAGCCTGAAAAAGAAGAGTGATATCTAACTAAAATGACTTGTGTGTAATGATAACTAGTGATAACTAACTTAAAAGTGCGATATCGGTAATCGATGAAAAAAATTGCGCCCCAGACTTTAGAAGTGCGGGGTTTTTCATTTTGGATCGCAAACTCCAAAACACCCCCACAAAGTGAACGATAGCGCTCAGTAAAATTGGCTGTTTGCTGCTAAGGTTCTACATTGTTGGATTTTGGAAAACGGCCTCAACATGCAACAGAAGGAGAGTTCGTGATGGCGCGCAACTGAACGTTTCGTGCCTTTTCTGTCTGCTCCCTAAGCCACCTTTTGAGCTGTCCTAAATTCCATGTCACCCCACTCAATAGATGCGTATCTGATATGACCCCGTATTCTTACTAGTGAGCTCCTGCTCTATAAAAAACGTAAGGTCGGCTTTGCAGATCTGTTGTCTCTCTCAACACCTTTTAGAAGCAGTGAAAATTGAAATTCCTTGCAGGTTGCTCTTAAATTATTATCAATTTATAACGGACTAAGCCCAACTAAAAAGGGAATATGCTCGATTTGTATGACCAGGAGCTGAATTCGTTTCTCGAACAAAACTTTCAGCTTCGATCCGCGAAGGATAATCCGCACCCTAAACTCGTATACCTAGTGATAAGTATTAGAACCAGCATGGTTGATAATACTAATTAATGCAATGTGAATTATTAAAAAAAGAATACGTGAATTCGAGCTCCAAGTCACTAGTGAGAGTAATAAAGAAAAATTATTATTACTTTATTAAAAAAAAAGCGGCGGTTTGTGATCAATATGTAAAAAATCTATTTTTTGCAAGTATTTTCACGTAATGATCACAAGTTATTATAATAACTATTATAACTTTAATTTTTATTATTAAAGTTATAATAGTTATTATAATAGCTTATGATAAAAAAGAGCCTCTTAGGTACATGACAACTCCTTATTCATTTATTTACTCTTGATAGGTAAAAGACAACAGCTTTGATACACAAATGTAAATACACATATACCTGTAAAGACAATTTTTTGTTCAATACTCTTTAATATATAAAAAACGTTGCTTAGACTTGTAGTGTACATTGCATGGCAAGTTTGCAAACAAAGCAACTTAACAGTATTAGAAGTTGGTGCTGCTCAATAAAAACCGCGAAGGTCTGAGGACTATAAGAATACTTTCTTATAGCTTCTACGCAGAGTTTTGACAGGTCGCAGCTACCAAACAGATGCATATGCATGCATTCATATGACACATGATTTCATGTGATTTTGCATTCGATCGATAAAAAGGAACTTGGCCAAACCTACTATAACTAGCTAGTTAGTGTAGCTCTCATTCGCTAGTAAACGGTCTTAGGTCCGGCTCTACTTACCGAACATCTCACGAGAACTTTGATAGCCACATTCTCCTAGATAAAACAAAACACGTCACGCTGCTACAGAACAAGACACATAAGCGCCACTTATCCTAAATTATCAAAATCACAAGTAGTTTCACTGGTCCAAAGTTTCAACAGTTGTAACAGATAACGGGCACTTCAAATAATAACGAAACTATTAACATATGCAAACAAGCGAAAAATATTAAGCCGACATTTAGCCAAACACTTGTTGCTTGATACAAGTTGTCGCAATCCCTCTGCACTTACTGGACATTGGCACTGCCCCGCGACAGACAAAAACAAACAAAACAACGGACCTTAAACAAATTTCATAGCCGTCGTCTGCTGATTGTTATTAGTATAAAGGCGGGGTTTTTAAATCAGTAGGATAACGAGAGAACCTGTTAAATTATTGTTTAGATAACAACAACGTTACATCCAAGTTAGGACCTGCATAGATGTAGCTTCAGAAGGTGCTAGTGAATAAATGACGTCTGTTACTGACACAAGTTTGGAGTTTTTATCTATTTTTATACAAACTTCCTGCTGGAAGTTTTAGCGAGATGTCTGAAGCCACAGAAATTCGCTTTAAGATTTTATAAGAAGCATCAGGACCCTGGTAACCATCAACACTCGTAATAATTTCTTTTGACGTAGTTGCTATCATAATAATTGGTTATTTACATCGGTAACGTTCTAAATGCGATGTGAATGTGTGCAATCGAAAGAAATCAATCACCTCGGGTTGAGAGATGCAGTACAATAGCGACGCAGTTCGACTTCAGTATCTTTAGTGGGCTGTAATCAAATTCGGTGACTGCAATGAGGAAGAAGCGCAATCGGCTACACCTTCGCACATATATATGAATATATGTACAAAACTCTAAATTTTTGTTAGCAGTGGGTTGAGCTTAATTTCTATGATGTTGTTACGGGGGGTTTTACTAATGTTAAGTGGTTGACTTTGTCGTCGGGATGTGCGTAAATGGGGTCGGTTGTTGTCAAACTTTTAAAAAAAAATATTTTTTCATAGAGACTGGTGATCGGCTAACTTAGTAACCCTGTTCCCGGGACATAATTAACACTTAAGGGTTTTTTTAATTAAAAACAAGTGATTTGTTAGTATATTCTTATTCTTATTCTTATATGTAATGTATTAAATGAGAGTATGGCTCTTTTATTAATTCGATTCCTGGAACATATTCAACAAAGCTTAGAATTTTTTTTCTTCATTTGTTTATTTTTTGTTCATGAATATTTATGTGCAATATATTGATTTTGTATAACATTTTACTAAAGCTTAAGTTATTTTCAATACTAAGTACTTGCATGTGCTACAGTAAATGGGGATCTAATAAACCCTTGACAGTTAGCAATTGGTTAAAAAAAAAATCGCCAAAATGCAGCCCACATCACCCTCATAACATATTACAAACATGTATTAGAAATTCGGAATTGAGAGCCCGAAAAAAGCATATTCAAAAACTGATCTCTCTGTTAGATCAAGATAATAAAAAGGGAAGTGACCGACAGGTATAACTTTAGCAAGAACACTACATATAGTAAATACTGTCATAACATAGACTTGTTGGCGCGTAGAAAATAAGGTTAATAAATAGCGAGTATTGTGTACTACAGGAATGTATATCCATGTGATGGCTAAACCAATCAAGGTTTACTGATATCGTATGTCAAATATTCAAAATATCCAAATAATGTAAAGCACCTGCAACTAGTCGCATCGACTCGACCTATAAACTTAGCAAATAATCGAACCAGATACTGCCCTGTGTTAGTATCATAGGAATTACGCACGAAATCATGCCAAGAATCCTATTACTGATGAGGAGCACCTAGATACGCTGGCTGTCAGTTTTGAGGGGAAACTGCCTGAAGTGAGGGGAAACTTATAGAGCTACGCGAAAAATCAAAGGAATGGCCATTTCGCGACACAAGGAAAAACACATGACCTGAAGAAAGTTGCGAAAAAAGAATGGACGGAATTTCGACCTATCAAAAATAATGGATCAAAGCTAAATCAGAGCCCTTTTAAGACAGATCCTCTATTTAGTATATATACTGTGCAAAGCGACGTCTAGTGGTTGGGGAGTTCAGAAGCTAGAAACTTGCTACTTGAGGGAATTCAGTGCAAATGTAATGGACAATGCAACGCGTTCTAGACTACGGGAGATAACAGAACTATATCGCGCGCAATCGGACAATTGTCGGACGTAAAAAATGCAACCGTTCGGCCAAACGCATCCCACCCAGGCGGTCACAGGTAGATCAATAAGCTTTCTGGTAGTGGAGAGACCCAGTCGGCTTTACGAATTGCTACGTTAGGTGACGTTTCTTTCAACACGTCAACAAGCGACCCTGAACATAAGCCGACGTTTGAATAACTTTTCGGCTGCAGGGCCATGGTGCCTGGTGAAGCCTCGAATATGAGGACACAAAAAGCAATACCGTGGAATGCACCATCGCGTGCACCACCAGCTTCGGGATCGGCAGCTCTGGAAGGTGAAAGCCCGATTTGAACCAGGTCGAAGGGCTGACACGCCTTTTCAAGCTTGCCCCTATAAGTTTAACTGTAAGTAGAGTAAAGCTATTCCAGAACTCGCAACCGTCCCATAATATCTAGTCTACCTTAGTGAACGGCCGTGTTGGCGTATCCATAAGCTTCTAAGGTAAGCGACGTTCATGACTTGGCTTTGTCTTTTGGCAGACGCTACAAATGCGAATATGCTCCAGGACTTTCGCTCACACTAGTGCTATGAAGAAACGGGTTTTAACGGCTGTATGGTTTGCCAAGGCCTGACAACTTTGCTAGTAAAGAAAAGTTTGTAACTACTGCAAGTGCGAAAGAATAAAGACACCGTCTTTTATGCTAGCTTAGTACGTAGGCGGTTATGATTTTTTTCCACGCCGAGAAGGGCAATATTCTGCTCTTTGGGGGGGTCTTAAGTTTAATTTTGTTCTCTAAGCAGTTCTTGCAGTGCTGCTTGATAAGGAGCTGATTCTTCTATTCTAGAGACATTCTTTTTCTAGGTAGTTCGACTCGATCAGCATGAACCAAAAAGGTTTCGCAACAGTTGGCTTCTCAGGTCCGTAAAGTGTATATTACCGGCCAGCGGTCTATGTGCTGTCAAAAGATCCTTACTGATCACTTTGAAGAACAAGTCGTTACTATTAGCAGTGTTCCGCCAGACTCGCTGTATTGTGTCACCGTTTAAGCAACTTCGGTAGAGGCAAAGCGTACGTTTGACCCACTGAAGCCCTGCCCCAGTCACTGTAAGCTAGCATTGTTCACATAGAGGTGTTGTTTAAATAACGTGTGCGTTTCCCGTAGCATCGGCGGTATATAGATGGAGCAGTCGCAGCAGTGGCAGTCCAGCGTTGACTGCTGTACTACTACCACCTAGTAGTCCTTGAAAGCTGTAACATTGCCTCTTTGCGATTTCTCGTACGTGCTAGACGTCGTAATCGTCGAGGGTACCATAACGGTAGAATAAGAAGGTTCTAAACATAAAACTCAAGCCGTATTATTCATCATGTTATTTTACCTCCAGACAGATAAGAAACATATATCGATATTTCTTGGCAAACCTCCTGGCGAGAAGTAATTATCTCTTAAAATTTACGAGACTCTAACCGTCCGGTTTATCAATCGCACTCAATTTCCAAAAGGTGTGCAGCAGTTATTTGATTATACACACTATAAAAAGCAATGCAATTTTCTTAACTCGTATAAAGGAAGATGTCGCAGCATTCTTGTATAGCTTTATTCCACAAACAAAAACTCGACAAAGAACGGATTACATTAATAAGCACAGATTTCCATCTGTTTCACTGTATATATTTCTTTCAAGAAAAAAAAACCTAAGGCAACTATTTATGCGAAACTCAACGAATCAGTATGCGGACCAATGGTACAATGTGTCAGGAAATTTTCTCTTAATGGGCAAAGTAATTAGATTCATCAAGAGATGTCTTCTGATAAGTCCTTTTTCTGATAAGTAATTATCTGTTAAAACTTTATGAGAAGTCTAAGCTGATCTGGCTTTTTATCTGTCAAGAAATAGACCGCGAGTATTGTTTGAAGGATAGAAGACCATACACAATACCGATTCATTTTGTGTCGTTGAACCTGGCATGACTTCTCTTAAAAATTTTATGGTTCTGTAACGGCACAGGTAGGGGACTGAGATTCATCTCGACAAGATAGTTACACAGTTCAATAACGGAAAAATAATTTTCTGGATTTTTTACCAAAACGAGTTTGTACGCTAAACAATATTTAAATTTCATGCGGCATTATTTCCTACTTATTTTACGTGGCGTGCTGTATGGGACATTGCAAAATGCGACCCGACCTCAATTTAAACCAGTCTAGTATACATGATCAGGATCTGCAAGGCTACTTGCCTTATTTCAATGTTTTTATTTTCATACGTTACAAAGCGTAGAGCTTCTACTACAAATTCAAAAGCTCTAAGAATTGCGTAAAATATGAGAAAATAACGTATTTTACTCTTAACAGCAACCTAGTAACACGTCGATGAAATTTAAAAATAAAAGTAAATATAAAATACTTTTGTTGGCTGAGTACTAAAGCAAGCATGTAAAGGTTCTTGGCAAAACTAGAATACTAGGAGGTACGTAAAAATTGTAGTAATGAAATGCCTTTTGTTCAAAGGCGCAAAGATCGATTTTGATGCTTAGAATATAGGTATGTTTTTCGGATATTTTCAAAGAGATTAGCCCGACTAGGGTCCCTTTAGATCTTGGCAGGATGAAAGCTTCACGAGCAACTTTAAGGATTTAAAAAATGCGTTCTGACTCGAACATTACAACATTCCAGTGTGGCACTCACTGAACATCATTGTTTATGCCTGTTTCTGGCTTGTAATTGAGCGTTAAATTGAATCATATTTTTGAATATTGCGCCTCAGCGTGTTGCGTGTGGTGCCGCCTTCTAAAAACTATCAGATAGTATATCGCGAGGTCGAGCATTCCCGTTATTTATTCTTAGTTTTACTCCCTGTCGAAAATATATGATTCAAAAGTGCCTTTGCTCTTCTCTGATTATCTAACAATTTCTATATGACTCAGTTGCATCGTCCGTACAAGGCTATTAAATCCATAATTATTTGTTTCCAATTACCTGGCACTATGACACTGTCGTACCACATACTAAAAACGTTTTTAAAACGGCTCTGCAAATAGAGGCTTCTTTTGCGTCTGCTATGTTTTTCGGATCTT